CAGCGGGATCCCGCGGGCTCGTGTGGAACAAACCTAATATGTACGCACTTAATCAACAGAATTTCATAAATACTATATACATACATACATATGTGGGATGCAGAGAGAAACGCTTGGCAAACCAGCCAACCCCAAATCAAATCACTCGAACAAAAGCGAACAGTTCATTCCATATAATGAGATCAAAAATGGTATTAGTCGCTTGCTCCTTTGTGATTGCTCTCGGGATTAATCCGGGATGTTGATAGCATTTTTTGCAGGGTTCATATTTTGTATTTATTTCACGTGCATACATACACACATTCATGCTGAAAACATGTGGGGTATTCACGATCCGATGCATATGGTGCATAAATGGCATAAATAGCACGATTAGATAATTTTGTTGTTGTTTCATGTGTTCAGACAACAACATGCACCATGCTAGACAATATGCTCCGGATCGTGAATACCCCTATTGTTGCGAATAATATTTCAATTTCATGGACTGCTGGCAAGTATGCAGACAGACAGACAAGCAGACAAGCAGACAGCCATGCAGACAACGGCTGCAGCTGTTTTTGACGGGCATGTTGATGTATGTATGTATGTAATTGCTGTGTCACCCTGTCGCAGACATTTTGCTGTTACATATCAATATTTTTACTTGTACTGCCGTTTTTATAGTTATTTTTATTATTCTTTTTATATTTTCAGCCATGGCACTGTTGCCACCTTACGCGGTTCAAGGAATTTTTTTTTTGCGAATTTTTGTTATTTAATATTTTTTATAATAAAACGACAGGATAAGTTAAGAAAAAGTGAGTAGGCAGAATGCTTAGAAGGTATACGTATATTATAGGGTGGCCAGATTAGAACGATAGGAGAAGAAATCGAACATCTTGAAATATCAATTTGATTCTGGCTTTATTTTGAAGTTACATTCATGTCATTATATATGTGTGTATGGAAATGCACATTATTGAAATGGACGGCTCGATTTCGCAAGCCGAGCTTCAAGCGGTCGATCTAATTTTTAATGATATTCCGGCTACAGTCAAGCTTTGTGGATGTCTTCGATGGTCGAACATTTGTGGATTGTGTTCGCTCCAAATTTTCTACGTGACACATGGTGTCACACTTTTTCATGCGTGGGTATGAGCAGATTTGAGAGAAAACCTCTGAACCTACGTGATCGTGCGTAACTGAAATTTAAGCTGGCGTGCACGTGCGTGAGATAAATTTTCCCGTCAGCCAAGTAATTTTCACATTGTGTAATATTGTGTGCAACAATTTTTATTGGGCTCGAGGCCATTTTTTAATGAAAAACTATTGTGGAAAAGCAACAACAATTTGAAAAAATGGCACAAGTGATAGCTATTTCGGAAAGCACCACATTTCGTCATCAGACTTCTTCAGCGGGATTCGAACCGATGACCCCAGCTGACTCAGCCAGTTGCCTACGCACTGTGCTAAGTTCGCCTTATAAACTGTTGCTGCTATTTCCCCTTTTTTCATGTGAGCCAACTAAACTCTCAGACGATGCACAATTCAGTTGATCGGTGCCGAATCGGCATTTATCGGCTATGTTTTGTGCACTTCGCAGCAATCTCTTTCTGGTTGGTGGCCTAAGATCCAAAAGAGCGTAATAACTGGTACATAACTTGCAATGAAAAACCAATGAATGAATGAATGAACCAAACTTCATGTCCAATTTTTAAATGACCAAACGTAAGCTTCTTCTTCTTCTTATTTGGCGCTGTAACCGCCTAAGCGATTTT